CTTCGAAAATTAATGTGATTTGGTTGATCATTAATTTTAAGAAAATACAATGTGTTCCATTTGCCATGTCTCCAGTTGAGACACCCCCCTCTCAAATGAATCTTGACACCTCTCCCCTGCTGAAAGTGCCCACACCCTTGGCAAATCTTCTATGCATCCCTTCCTTAATAGAGAAGCTCTACTAATATTTTTACAGGGCACCCACATGTGCATTCATCCTCTATTCAGGTTAAAAGGGCTCTTACCTTCCTTCACTGGATTGTGGGTAAGTGCTGAGAACAAACCTCTTCTCCCCACAATACTCAAAGTGTGCCTTATACAGTGAGGCTCAGTCCCTGTCTGATTTGAGTAACTGATAAGGGGTCTAGAGAAATAAGACTTTTGCTTTCCTCTGACCTTCTGATGTACTTAATATGAACATCCCAATTAACAGCCAATCAATTCATAGTCCCAATGTGTTAGTATTTGATTCCAGAAAGGACATTCCATAGAACTCTCTTCTCCTGTTCTCAGTGCAGGGGGAGCATGTCCACCACCTTTGACTTCAGTGTCAGATCTGTCTACACTCCTTCATTGCCTTTACCATGAGATTCCCATACATTAGTACTATTGTCCTATGAAATAGCTTTTGACATTGATACTAGATAGGAATGCCAAAAGGGAATGCCGAAAGCACACAATACCTGTATTCTCACTCTTGGCTATACTAATTATATATATATATATATATATATATATATATATATATATATATAAATGTGAACTAGCTGAGTGACCACATAAAAGAGTTCTAATCAACAGATCAGCATTAACTTGAAAATAGATCTCCAGGGGCCCGACGCTGTGCTCTGCCCTTGGCCTTGACTTGCTCATCATTCTCATCATTTTGCAGATTGAAACGTCACTGGAAAAGTTTCAAATAGGTCATACTCTTGTAGTGCCAGCATTGTTTGGAATTGGATAGTAGCAGTTAGGAGCAGAATCAGCACCAGAAGTATATTTCCTGAATCAGGAAATGGAAGTGTCTGTGATTGCTAACTAAATGATACTGGTCCCCAGTGAGCAGGATGTGAAAAACTTAAGACATGAGGAAACATACTCCACAGAAAGTAGATATACCTGGACTTTCCTTCATCTAGACAATACCAAACCCTTTCATGTACATTCTCTGAAGCCTGCTTCTCCTCTCATGTTCTACAGCTCAGTAACCTGTGTCACTTTGCACCCAGCAACCCAGACACCTAACTGAGTGTCAGCCTCGTTTCCCTGTCTCCTTTTCTGCTACACTCCAACTGATCACCTGGCCTGAAAGGTCTGACCTTCTCATCGTGACACAAATCTGTTTTCTAACATTTATACAAAGAAAAATGACAGAATTGGGATAAGAAATAAAATTTGAAAAGCTCTAAACATGATTCTAATACCTCAGCCACCCCCATACCTGGGTTCAGAATCACAATGTTAGGAAAATGTTATCCCTATAAAGATCATTTTTGTTTGAGTGATGCAGTCTATACAGGAAAACACATTTTGTGTTCCCCAATAACACAAGGAAAGACATAGGCTTGAAGATCAACTAAAATCTAACATGTATTTCTATTGCCTCGGAGATTTGTAAAAATGTTTGTAAATAGGAAATTATATAAGGGATTTTGAACCCTCAATCCAATTAAAGGATAGCAAGAGCCCCCTGCATCTCCGAAATAAAGGAGTTTGGATCACAGTAGTAGTTTGTATCACAGTAAGAAATACCAAATGGAGCTTCCCTGTCTATTTTTGCTTATTGAGTCCTAGCACAGTACCTGGTGCTGAGGAGAATGCACACCAACAGAAATACTATTAAAGGCCAAAAAAAGAGTTGAGAGGTATAGACCTTACAGTGGCTCAGATAACCAAACAAATGGAAAAATGGTTGACCCAAACTGATGAAGTGATAACATCTGAATTCTGGTGTCCATAGATAGTAGAAAGGGATTTGGATATATTTGATATCAAAAATTCCTAAGACCTGTACCTATGTTACCCACAATGTGGTGTTGGATAGGTCAGAAGCTATATACAATGGCTACAATGGACAATGTCATATAATAGAAAATGTGGGCTGAGAGCTAGGAAAACTTGGCAGAAGCTTTGATGATGTGCTTGCAAATACTTATCCTAGCCTCAGGTGCTAGTTTGAGTATGTCATTCTCTTTCATGAAAAATAGATAAACCTGATGCACATCAAGCTTTCTTCTACCATGATACCAGGCAGGGCCCACTATTTCACTGAAAAGTCTACTACCAGAAGACAATAGCGATTCTTGTTGTCAGAGAAGTCAAGCAATGACAAAATCCCATATTCCTTCTAAGAAGTGTGCTTTGAAAGAATTTTAAGTTATTTATAGATTATTTGAAGAACAGAGCTCACAGTGCTATCCATCATGGCATTTCCAACAAGGGGATTCACCAAGTCCACTGGAGTCAGAACAAGGACTCTCTGTACCTGAATTACTTGGCTTTATGCAGCCACTTCCTTGGAAAATCTTATAGAGTAGGCACCAAATCAAGCAGATCTCATTGAAGTGTCAGAACTTGCTTCTCTGCTATTATGTAGTCTTCTTTTAAAATACCTGAAACAAGATGTATAGAATTACCAAGAGAATGCATAAGCTTTGAAATTTACTTACATCCATACATACCTTGAAAATTTCAGAATGATTGGGAGGGTCATAACAATAAAACAGTTTCAGTGTTGAACCAACGGCAAAACGAAGACCTTTCTCTCTGTCTCTCTCTCTCACTATCCACTCTGCCTGTCAAAAAAAAAAAAGTTTCAGTGACTGAGCTCTCGAGATTAAAAAGTAAAACAAATAAACAAACAAAACAATGCAACTTACAAAAATCGCTGAAATCCTGAGTTAGAATTTATCCATACCTGAAGTGACAATAGACACCCTTGTCAGGCATGTGCAGGAGAAAGATTCAATCAGACATCTACACTTTCTGCATTCCAAGGTCAGCAAGAATTGAAGAGAAAAAATGTTATATTTCTAAGTTGCCAGTAGAGTCCTTTTATGTGTGGAATTTAAATTTTTTAACTTTTATTTAATGAATATAAATTTCCAAAGTACAGCTTATAGATTACAATGGCTTCCCCCCCATAACGTCCCTCCCACTCACAACCCTCCCCTTTCCCACTCCCTCTCCCCTTCCATTCACATCATGATTCATTTTTGATTCTCTTTATATACAGAAGATCAGTTTAGCATACATTAAGTAAAGATTTCAACAGTTTGCTCCCACACAGAAACATAAAGTGAAAAATACTGTTTGAGTACTAGTTATAGCATTAAATCTCAATGTACAGCACACTAAGGACAAAGATCCTACATGAGGAGTAAGTGCACAGTGACTCCTGTTGTTGACTTAGCAAATTGACACTCTTGTTTATGGAATTTAAATTTTTAAGAGTCCAAGATAGGGGCTGGCACTGTGGTGTCGCAGGTAAAGCTGCTTCCTGCAGTGTCAGCATCCCATATAGCCGCTGGTTTGAGACCCGGCTGTTCCACTTTTCATCCAGCTCTCTGCTATGGCCTGGGAAAGCAGTAGAAGATGGCCCAAGTCCTTGGGCCCCTGCACCCACGTGGGAGACCTGGAAGAAGCTCCTAGCTCCTGGCTTCGGGTTGCTACAGCTACAGACATTGTGGCCAATTGGAGGTGAACCAGAAGATGGAAGACCTCTCTTTCTCTCTGTATCTACTTCTCTCTCTGTGTAACTCTGACTTTCAAATAAATAAATAAATATTTAAAAGAAAAAAAGAATTCAAGATGACCATGGAGGTACCATTGACTAATAAGAGAAAGAGGAGGAGGGGACAACCAGATCTTACCCTTAATGTAGCAACCTCTGTACCTATAATAAAATAAATGAAATGGGGAGTTTTGAAAGCTTTGGGAAAATAAGCTTCCAACTTCAACTATGCAGAACAAGTCATGAGCCAGGTGATCCAACTCCCCACCATACCCTCTAGATGTTATCTACTCATATTACTTTGGTCATATAGCAACTTGTTCCTAAGTTTCCATTTCCATTTCCAAAACTTCTGATCTTAAAATTGTTCTTAAGATCATAAAATCTTAGAAAACAGAACAAAGAAAAATCCCTTCTGCAAGGGTGGGCATTGCCTATACCCCTTAACTGAGTGATGGTTAAAGTCTAGCTCTACTTCTGATTCCAGCTTCTTGTTAATGTGCAACCTGGGAGATAGCAGTGATACTCAAATACTTGGGTGCCTGCTACCCACTTGGGAGACTGATTGAGTCCCAGGCCCCTGACTTTGGTCTGGCCTAGCCCTGGCTCTTCCAATCATTTGAAGAGTGAACCAGCAAGTTGGAAAATCTCTCTCTCTCTCTCTCTCTCTCTCTCTCTCTCTCTCTCTCTCTCTTTCATTCTCTCTGTCTTTCAAATAAAATAAGTAAAATTTAAAAAAAATCCAACCTCTTTTTATTCATTATTTAAAAATTAATTCATCTGGCCGGCGCCGCGGCTCACTAGGCTAATCCTCCGCCTAGCGGCGCCGGCACACCGGGTTCTAGTCCCGGTCGGGGCGCCGGATTCTATCCCGGTTGCCCCTCTTCCAGGCCAGCCCTCTGCTGTGGCCAGGGAGTGCAGTGGAGGATGGCCCAGGTGCCTGGGCCCTGCACCCCATGGGAGACCAGGAAAAGCACCTGGCTCCTGGCTCCTGCCATCGGATCAGCGCAGTGCGCCGGTCGCAGCGCGCCGGCCGTGGCGGCCATTGGAGGGTGAACCAACGGCAAAGGAAGACCTTTCTCTCTGTCTCTCTCTCTCACTGTCCACTCTGCCTGTCAAAAAAAATAAAAAATAAATAAATAAATAAATAAATAAAAATTAATTCATCATATATTTTTGATGAGATATTAAAGCCTTCAAAATAAATAAATTATCAGAACCTCTCTTTATCTTAGGAGAGGTACCTTCATTGTTTTAACATGAGAGTTAGTCTTTTTATTGTAGTGCCCACCACACACAGTTTCTAAATTCTGGCCTGGCTCTGTGTTGTAATGCTCCAAAGGAGCATCATCTACAAAGCCATCAGCAAACTCTCTGAACACTGAGGATAAGCTTTTTGCTATTTTCCTTTTTTCTGTGGATTTGGCTATTGAATTGCAATGACCACTGTTTCTTTTTTAATGTACTTTATACTGCTTCCCATAACTGCTTATTTTTATCATCTCCTTTCATTGATAGAAGCTTCCAAAGGCACTGCTTCAGCATCCCCTCTGTTCTCTCTCCCACAGCGAAGCATGGTGATTTCTCACAGTACCTGGTTAGAGACTTGGAATAAGGATCTATTACAGCTTCAATTGGAAACTGTGGAAAAATCAGGAAAAGTCATTCTCAGATAGTTAACGGCATTTGGTCTGAAATTAAATTGCATGAAATGGAGCATTTGGGTCATTGAATAGATGTGGCAAATAACAAAATATAATAAACAGACTCCACACTTTCCATCCAAAACCTTCTAAACAAAAGAAGCACTTTGCATGACTGCTGTAAACACTCAGGCAGGTTTTAGTTTCTAAATATCCTGATTAATCTTTCAGTGCTCAGGGCTTGGGGATGTCCCAAAACACCAATGCCCAGTGAACTTCTGTAAACTCACATCTTCGTTAAGGGCAGTATAATCTATGAATTGCTGATTTATTTACCCTTAACTACCAAATTGTTGTTTGATGTGAGCTGTTTAGGACCCCTGAAGCTCAGAGCTATTTTAACAAGCCATTTCCAGCTTCTGCTTCTCTGTACAAACAAAAGAATACAGTTGACTGTAGGACACATTCTTAACTGCCAGAGAATCTGGGTTGTGTTTTAGAATCAGAGACTAATATGACCATGGCATAAGCAGACCCTTTTCTCACTTTTCTGATATGTGTGTGTGTGTGTGTGTGTGTGTGTGTTAGAGAGAGAAGGAGAGATTGGTCACTCAGTAAGAGCTTGAATGCCCAAGTTTCCCTATGTAAGATCAGGACCTTCCTTTTAGGCAATATCACACCATCCCCTCTTCTCTAGAAATTAGTTATGAGTATTCCTCTTGTATCAACAGGAAGTTTTTTGGGGTGCCTTTTAGTGGCCAGTATTTCCTTATATAAACTGGCAAAGTCAGAATTTGCTGCCCACTCTCTCAAAGGAATTGACATTTGATGTGTGAATCCTGTGATCAAGTTCAGCTTGCTTGATTATGTGGTATATATTCTCTAAGTACAGCTAGGACCTAGAACAGGTCGTCTTTGGATCTATCAGTATAGATCCAGCAGAAATGGGAAAGGGATGCCAGCCACAGTCCTGCAAAAACCATGATTCTGATTCCTTCACCCCTGCAGAATAGGAGAAAATAACTCTTGTGATCTACTTTATCCACGTAGAAGACAACAAAAAGAGAGAGAATAAACAAATGCTTTGAAATTGTCCTGAATTAACTACTTTTTTTTCCAGCTGCCTGTTTTTTAAATATATTTCTCTAACACTCATGAGGGCAAAAGAGCTCTATCCATTTGGCTATATTCTAACTCTTAGCATCCTGAGTTCTGATATTGTTTATATTTTGTTGGACAATAAAAGGCCACTTCCTTGACTAAGCTGAGAGTTGCATGCACAGTGATCTTAGCAACCCTCTAGGTGGGAAGGCTCTGAGATGTGATTCCATGACCAAAGCAACAAAGAAAACACAGAGAGAGGAATGGCAGCATTCCACAGAAGCGCATCCAGGCTCTCCCTGGTACAGAGCAAAGAACTTCAAAGGAAATCCTGAATATTTCAAGAGGACTTGCATATTCTGGAAATCATAATGGATACTCTAAGGTGGTGCTGGAATAAAACTGTACAAACTACAAAATGTTTGGTCCTCCTGCCCCATTTCTGGTCCTGAAACTGCTCAGTCTTCCATCCAGTTTCCACTTGTGTGCCTCCTCTTTAGCCTCCGCTTCCACAATGGAACTGTGTTAGTTGCTAACAGCAGGGTAAGAATGCCAACTCCATTTTTCCCATTGTGTGATCTATTGGTTATATCAATATAGGTGTTCAATTAAGTAAAATGTCAGGACAGAATCCTTGCACCATCACACACCAACTTTGACTCTGGGTAGTTACTTAATAGCAAGAAAGAGATCCTTGTTCCCTTATCTGTAAAATAGGATGATAGTAATACCTACCTCATTGGGTTATTGTAAGGATTAAAGGAGATAACACTAATGCTTAGAAGAGTTTCTTGTACATCTTAAGCCCTCAATAAATGTTAGCTACCATCATTATTTTTATTAAATGATTATGGTTTTATATGTAATACTTCCAAGGGGAATGTAAAGGACTTTCAAGGATTTCAATTCTTGAACTCAAAAGTATTGGGCTTTAATAGTGAAATCTAAATAATTAAAAAGTCCATGGGCTTTTATGTGGCAACCAAGTTATAAGCTGTGTGCCCGTATTTAAGTTTACTAGTGCATCCAGTATCTGAGGTTGATTTATTTTTTAATCTTATTTATAAACTAAAGATAGTCTCTAGTTTTCTCTGTGACCTGGGAATGCTGGGGCTTAAAAGGAATAGACTTCTTATTCCTGCTTTGAGCAGCATCATACTGTAAGCAGATCAAATGCACTGAGGCATGTTACAAAAGGCAGACTCCACATCTCAGGAAGGGGCACTAATTCATTCTTATGCAAGGAAGTCCTTCTCCCATTATTAATGAATATTTTTAATCCTGAAAATATCACTCAGACTTAGTTACACATCACTGCATCCATTTTCTTTCGAAATTAAAAAAAATCATTTTGACTAAGGTTAAGCCTTTTTTATTTTCTTTTGAAACAAAGAATGTATAGTGTTCTTAATAAAGTCAACCATCACAGTTTGCATTAAATAACTTAAAAATCATCACAAGTAAATGTCAGTGTCCTAGTTTCAGTATATACATCTATATTGATGTCTACAATGCTTTCATCTGCATATTCATTTGCTTAGTAATACATTAATTATTAGTACATATTTGGCTTTGTAAGGGCTAATAAAGGAGGTAAATATTACAAATCAGAAAAGGAAGGCCTCACAGAAATACTTAAATATTGAAATAATTGAAACTTTTAATGGAAAGAAAGTCATTATAAAAGTAACATTTAGAGAAATTACAGCCATTTTGTTGTGGAAAGGAAGCCCACAAATTATATGGTTAAATAAAATTACATTATAAATAAAAAACTACATATTTTGTAATAAAAGATATCTTACATGATAACAAGACACAAAGTATTCCAGAAATACAGATAGCATATGGGTTAATATTTTAATATACATATAGTTTCTATAAACCATAAGAAAAATTTATATTCAAAGGGCTACCCTAATACTGTTTCCAAAATATTTGTACCTGAGTTCTCAGATTCGTGTATGTGTGTGTGTGTGTTTCTATCCACTGGCCAAGGTATTAGAAATAAAAGAGGTATTAGGGGAAGTCAGAGCAGTGTAGTGTAGGTGTCCAAGATCCTGCATCTATTGATTTGTGTTCAAAATGGATGATTGTTCGTTATAATAGAAATATTGCTCATTTCTTTAGTCATCACCAAGTCAAGAATTCTAAATAGTAAAACCATTCATGATGACTTTCTTAGACATCAAGCATTTTCCACCCAGCAGCAATTCAAGTTTCATGTGGCATAAAATAAATACCACCATTCATGATGTCAAAAATCTCCTCCTTCCAACAATACATATATTTCACTTCTTACACCTAGCCAAAATATGAATACAAGATGTATTTGTTCTATTATGCTTTTAAATCATTAACCCTTCCATGTGCTAACATAGGGCAATAATTAGTCCCTATATTATACTGAGAATTCACCTGGTTAGCACACTTGACAAATATCACAGCGGAAATGAATGCATTTCTAGTATATAAGTGGAATATTGAAAAAATGTAGAAGAGAAAAGGGACTGGATTTGTGATATACCTCATAGCTCATAAAGCTACTACCTGTGATGTTGGCATCACATAGGGGCACCAGTTCATATCCAAGCTCCTCTATTTCCTATCCGTCTCCTTGTTAATGGCCTGGGAAAAGCAGTGAAAGATGGCCCAAGTGTTTTGGCCACTGCCACCTATATGGGAGACCAGGATGAAGCTCCTGGCTTCTGGCTTTGGCCTGATCCATTGCTGGCTGCTGTAATCTAAACACCGAACCAGTAGAAAGACAATCTCTCTCTCTCTCTTTCTCTCTCTCAATGCTTACTTTTTTTTTTAAGATTATTTATTTATTTATTTGACAGGTAGAGTTACAGACAGTGAGAGGGAGAGACAGAGAGAAAAGTCTTCCTTTTGTTGGTTCACCCCCAAAATGGCCGCCACGGCCGGTGACTGTGCTGATCCGAAGCCAGGAGCCAGGTGCTTCCTCCTGGTCTCCCACGCGGGTGCAGGGCCCAAGCACTTAAGCCATCCTCCACTGCCTTCCCGGACCACAGCAGAGAGCTGGACTGGAAGAAGAGCAACCAGGACTAGAACCCGGCGCCCATATGGGATTCCTGCTCTGCAGGCAGAGGATTAGCCAAGTGAGCCACGGTGCCGGCCCTCAATTCTTACTTTCAAATAAATAAATAAATCATTAAAAAAAAAAAAGCGGGAGGGAAAACCAAATTTCACAACAGTGGCTGGACTGTGCAACTTGTCCTTTCCTGCCTCTGACTGTTCTCACCCTATCACAAAGTTCTAATAGCTCTCTACGGAATGGTGCCTTATGACCAAGGAGAAACGAACTGTCAATGCCATTTGGGTTTTGAAAAACATAAAAATTCTCCTTGTATTTGTGTAGTCATCATTTTCCAATTTCCTCTGATCCAAGTTATTTATAGGCTTTTTAGTGTGGTTGGCACAGGGCTGAGTACAGCCCCTAGAAAAATGTGGTTATAGACCTTGATGCCTGCTGGTTAAAAATACACGGGACTCTTATAAATACACACACACTGCCTCTGGTCACTCACAGGGCTATTATCCAGACTTGTCCCTGCCTTACCTTGAGGATGTTGTTCTCAAATTACAGACTTTACTGTCCTTTCTCTGACCGTTTTGGAAATCAAAGAGAAAAGCAAAAAGGAGATGAATAGTAGGTGACTAACTGTTAGTCTCACAAAGATTGTGATGGGCACAGGAAGCTGGAAGAGCAGGTGGATGGGAGGTAAGTTCAGGCATCCACGGTAGGGGAAAGTCAGGAGAAGTAGAGTAAGGAGTCAGAGGCTACTCTTGCAATGCACATACAACTAATGAAAATGTAGGTACATCTAGGGAGAGGAAGACAGGGAGTCCATTAAGATAATGTGACAATGTGAAATAACCCTGTACTTCCCACTCTACTCTGAAATATAGTTCATTTTTTCTGTCTCACTTTACATTCACATTCATCTTGAGAATCATCAATTTTAAAGTAAAATAGTACAAATTCTCATTTTCTACAGCATTATGGAACATAAAGTTTTAACATTTGTAGAATGGCAATGCCATGTCTGGCCCTATCCATGTGGGAATCACATACATGCAGCTCAGGGTTTTAGAAATCTGGAGCCTACTCAACACAGCTAGAACCTACAGAGCATAGTGCAATCCATGCTGCCTTATGATTCTCAGGTCAAGCATTGCCCACCTGGAGTTCCTCTTTAAAAGGGGCAATTTAAAAAGGAGTCAATAGGAGAGAGTTGAGGAAGAAGGGTGGGAGCATGGGCAGAGGGGAGGTTGGGTGGGAAGAAGCACTATGTTCCTAAATCCGTGTCTATGAAATGCATGAAATATGCATACCTTAAATAAATTTAAAAATACATAAAATAAATAAAAAGGAGTTAACCGTACTTTGGAAAAAAAAAAAAAGGAAGCGGAGTTCTTCATTAAGTGCAACTGCATTCTGGACACTGTCCTGGATGGTGAGGTTGAGCCTCCATAAATAACAAGAAGACACAACACTTGCCTCATGAGTATATACTTGAGTTGGAAAGAGTTGATGTAAGTAGATGACAATCATCACAAAGAAAGTATAGTGGGGTGAGCAGATGTGGACTGATCAGGAATATTACTGTATATAGAGAGTATTCTGAAAGTCTCATAGAAGGTGACTTTGGAGGAGAAATAAGATAAAATGAGAGCACCAAATTCTGGTATTTAAGGGATATCTGGCAACCAAGACTTCTCATTTATGTTCAGAGATATAAATTAAGAGATGGGAAATATATTGGTAGTACTCTTTAATGACAGTCAACACAAGTTTAATGAAGAGATTACTAACAAAAGCATATACTGTCTTAACGATAACCAAGGTGTTGGTCATCACAGGACTAACAAAAGTGTGAAGCCACACCACTGGTATGGCCTAGAGGGTTTGGGGAAGGAGAGAAGTTACCAGAACTGGGCAAAGAGAAAGTGAGATAGAGATAGAGATAGAGATAGAGATAGAGATAGAGATAGAGATAGAGATAGAGATAGAGATAGAGATAGAGATAGACAGAGAGACCACTGGATAAGAATTGTGACTTTCAGAAGAAGAATGCAACTGTCATAGTCTGTTTTTGTGGGTGTAAAAACAATACCATAGACTGGCTAATTTGTGAACAACAGAACATTTATTTCTTACAATTCATGAGGGCAAGAAGTACAAGGTAAAGACATTGTCATTTGGTGCCTAATGAAGGTCCATTCAGCATAGATGGCATAAGAGACACAAGGCAAAGGGTCTGAATGCTGCAAAAAATAGGGCAGAAGGGCAAATAAGAACCTTAACTATTCCTTTTGAGTCCTTTATTATTAACAAATATTTATTATGTGAAAGGCAGACCAATAGAGACAGAAAAATCTTCCGTTTGTTAGTTCACTCCCCAAATGCCTGTAACACCCATGCTGAAGTCAGGACTATAGAAGTCCAACTAGATCTTCCATACGTGTGGCAGGAACTCCAGAATTTGAGCTGTCATCTGCTGCTTTCTAGGGTGTGTATTAGCGGGAAGCTAAATAGGAAGTGGAGGACCCAGGACTCAAACCAAGGATTCCAATATGGAATGAGAACACCTCAAGCTGTAGCTTAACCTACTACACAACAGTGCCTGCTCTTCTTCCAGTCATTTTACAAGACACTAGTCTGTTTAGGAGGATGGAGCCCTCATGACTTCCTAAAAGGTCCCACTTTTTAATATCAGCCACCATTATGATAAAGCTTTAAGACACAGATTTGGGGAGACATACAGATTGTGGCAGTAACTACTGCCAACTGGTAGCCTCAAAGGAAGGAAGGAGGGAAGCAAACACCCCTTCTACCTTATTTTCTAATGCTAGTGACTTCTGTTGTATTAATTCAAAAAAATCACAAGGCAAAGAAGTTCTGTACAGAGAGCAATAGTGAATGGTAGGAAGTAGATAAGGACATGTGGAAAATATTGCAGCACAAATAAGAAGTAAACCATGTGGTATTCAAAATGCCATCTCTAATACTTATAATGCTGATATTAAGGAGTGTATAACTGGAAGCATATGAATTCTGTAGGAGTGGAGATAAGACATGCATGGACCAGAGGGAAGAAGGGAGCCAACGCTGAAAGAGAGCACTAAGAGGGAGTAAAGAAAGAGTAGTAAGAGAAGCCAAAAGCAAACGTCATTTTCTCTGCTTGCAATGTTTTTTAGAACTGGCTGTTGGAGATGAGGGGAAGGTGGATAGAGACTATGACACTCTAAGCTGTGTTATTTCCAGCTGCCTCTGAAGCCTTCGGTTTTATCTCTGATCTGCAGCGTGCTGTCATGTTCTGCGATTGTAATAATAGCAGCAGAGATAAGCACTTTTGAAATAGATCGCTGTGGAGATGAATAGACCGGATGGTTTCATGGCACCTTTCCCAGCTGCAACTTTCATGTTAACTACTTTTTCTAATGCAACATTTCCTTTATTTAAAACACACTGAGATATGAAAAATAAGAGAAACAGTGTTCTTACCTGGACTTCAATTAAAGTAATGAGTGCATTTAATCTGTTTCCACTGGATAGAACAATTAAACTTTAAAATAAACTTTTTATTCCAAATTAAATGGTGGTCTTAAATGGAAATTTACAGATAGTTTAAGTTAGCCCCACAACAACGACCTCAAACAAAACTCTTAATCCTTTCTCTTATGGACTTACACAAAATAGTGTCATTTAAGAAGATAAATAACTGGAGCTAACCAGGAAGCACACGTGTTGTAGTGAATGAAGATGGATCCAAGTAGGTGCCAGATCTTCACTTTCCCAGGTCAACACCAACCCAAGCTTAAACATCTACAACATACTTGCTATATATCAGAAGAAAGTTCAAGGAATGTAATCATATCTGACTCAATTGGTAGCAAACAGGGACAAGAAACAGGGACTCTTACATTTTTGTTCTTCCATCTCACTCATCCACCTTTAATTCTCAATATCCATTTCCATCAATGAATAGATTATTGGGGAATAGGCATTTACACACAGGGACCAGATTGGTAATATAAATTCACCTCTCAAATGATAAGCATCATGGAATGATAGGATCTGAGGCAAGCCAGAGAAAGTGAGCCTCACATTAAAGTATGTATAACTGCTTTTAGTAAAACTAGACATAAAATCTATAGGATGTGGCCAGCGCCGCGGCTCACTAGGCTAATCCTCCGCCTTGCGGCGCCAGCACACCAGGTTCTAGTCCCGGTCGGTGCGCCGGATTCTGTCCCGGTTGCCCCTCTTCCAGGCCAGCTCTCTGCTGTGGCCAGGGAAGTGCAGTGGAGTATGGCCCAAGTACTTGGGCCCTGCACCCCATGGGAGACCAGGATAAGTACCTGGCTCCTGCCAACGGATCAGCGCGGTGCGCCGGCCCCAGTGCGCCGGCCGCGGTGGCCATTGGAGGGTGAAGCAACGGCAAAGGAAGACCTTTCTCTCTGTCTCTCTCTCTCACTGTCCACTCTGCCTGTCAAAAAAAAAAATATATAGGATGCAAAAAACAAGTGAATTACCCTGATTTGATCACCATGCATTCTTATACTATCTAATTGCCCCACTGTACCAAATTGTATGTCAGTTAAAATTTTCAAGAAAACAAAATAATAATGATAAAACAAAACTCCCTTTATTGTGTGAAGTCCATCTGTAGGATGGAATCCACCAGGAATTCAGGCCGCTTGAGAAATAGTCCTTCCCTTCCAAATGTTCATGTTCTTAACTGAGTATCTTTTCTCCTTAATCTTTTGCTCATATTCTTGCTCATTTTTTAATGACTTCATGGTACTCACCATTAAAATGCTTTGTTGGTAATAGCAACTTTTAACGATAATTCATTTTCAAGATGGTGCCCATGCACTGACAGAAAGAAAAAAATAGGAATAATTTTAAGTATTTCATGGACTTTCAAAATGTTCTTGAAGTCTACAACAAATCTCAGTACCTAGAAGGTTAGAGACCAGAGACAATCATCCTTCCTGAAGCATAAAAGTCAATTAAAAAACCAATGGTGTTGGCAAGTGCCAAATAGATAGGACCATGTGTTGAAGAGAATGTAAGGGCAACTTCAGAAAGAAAACTAAGCCAGACCTTATAACCATGCTAGGACATCCTTGTAAGCTCTAATGATTCCATAATTGTATACTTACCTTGTCTCTGCTAGAGCACCCTGTCTAAGAAATAGGACTAAATTGTATTAAAATTAGAAGATAATCAAATATTTACAGAACTATTTAACTGTAACCCACCTCTCTTTTAGGGTGTGATTGCTTTATGTGTCTAATTGAGTGGTCAACTGATAAATGGAAAGTATCAAGTATTCTTAGATATTTCCAGTTACAAGAGGTATTGAAGGAAATGAGCAGCTGGGAAATACAGATTCATGTCTTGGGGTTTAGTCTTCAAGTCACACAAACACACACAACTTATTCTTTAATGCTTGGGACATAATTAATACTTAATTTATACCTACTGAAAGTTTAAGCAGGTTATAAAAAACTAATGAAATTCCATTCTTGAACATTTTTAAGCAGGTATTTATTTGAAAGTCAAAGTTACAGAGAGAGGGACATCAGAGGGAGGGAAAAAGGGAGAGAGAGCAACCAGGACTGGGCCAGGATGAAACCAGGAGACAGGAGATTTACCCAGGTCTCCCACATTCATGGCAGGGGCCCAAATACTTGAGTCATCTTCTATTGTTTTTCCCAGGCCATTAGGTGGATCATGACAGAAATTTGTGCTCATACAGAATGCTAGAATCACAGATGGCAGCTTTACCTGCTCTTCCACAACTCTGGTCCCTCACCCTAGAATATCTTTTTTTGTAAGATTTATTTATTTCACTTGAAAATAGCAGTTACACAGAGAGAGAAGGGGAGAGAGAGAGAGAGAGAGAGAGAGAGAGAGAGAGATGTCTTCTACCTGCTGGTTCACTCCCCAGTTGGCCACAATGGCTGGAGCTGTGCCGATCCGAAGCCAGGAGCCAGGAGCTTCTTCAGGGTCTCCCACATGGGTGCAGGGGCCCAAGGACTTGGGCCATCTTCTACTGCTTTCCCAGGCCATAGAAGAGAGCTGGATTAGAAGTGGAGCAACCGGGTTTTGAACTGGCGCCCATATAGGATGATGACACTGCAGGTAGTGGCTTTACCCACTACCCCAACACTTGAATATCTTAAACTAATTTTAATGCAAATATTTTGAATGTCATCCACTAATATTTATATTTTCATATTTTTGACTACAAAATATTTGTTGAGTATTAAACATACTATCAGTTATAAGGATGGGAACAATGTTTCACCCTCAGTTTCATCTTCAAATATTCACAAATTAGTCAGGGAAAGATGACTTCAGCATCTTTGAATTTACTTCATGAACAGTGTGAAAAATAAGCACTTTTGTTGATCCATGATATCAGGGATCTTGAAAGCTAGGTCTTCATAAATATGCATAGTTTGGATTCCTAGGCTCTAGGTAGTGTGCTGTAGGCTTGGTGGTAGCAGTACAAAGAAAGACACAGTACAAGTGTTCAGGAGTAAAGAAAATGGGTAGGGAATGGGAATGCATTCCGGTTGAGCAAGTTCAAGGAAACAGGTCTCACATGTGGGAATTCATAAGTGAGATGGTTTTGGAGAACAGTAGGGGTGGAGAATTCATTATTGAGATGTTAAGATGTATGTTTACTGAGCCAGAGCTGTGGTGAAGCAGGTAAAGCCGCCACCTACAGTGCAGGCATTCCCATATGGATGCCAGTTCCTGTTTTGCCTGTTCCACTTCAGATCCAGCTCTCTGCTATGGCCTGAGAAAGCAGTAGAAGATGGCCCAAGTCCTTGGGGCCCTGCACCCACATGGGAGACCTGGAAGAAACACCTGGCTCCTTGCTTCAGATCTCCACAGCTCCAGCCATTGTGGCGAACTGGGGAGTGAACCAGCAGATAGAAGACCTCTCTCTTTCTCTGTATTTCTTTCTGTCTCTCTCTCTCTCTCTCTCTCTGCTCCTCTGTAACTCTGCCTTTTTTTTTTATTTATTTGACAGGTAGAGTTATAGACAGTGAGAAAGAGAGAGAGAGGGAGAGAGAGAGAAAGGTCTTCCTTCCATTGGTTCACTCCCCAAATGGCACTACGGCCGGCGCTGTGCCGATGCAAAGCCAGGAGCCAGGTGCTTCTTCCTGGTCTCCCATGCAGGTTCAGGCGCCCAAGCACTTGGGTCATCCTGCATTGCCTTCCGGGGCCAAAGCAGAAAGCTGGACTGGAAGAAGAGCAATCAGGACTAGAACCTGGCACCCATATGGGATGCCGGCGCCACAGGTGGAGGATTAACCAAGTGAGCCACAGTGCTGGCCCCCCTCTGCCTTTTCATATAAATAAATAAATCTTTTAAAAAAAGAAGTATATTTACAAGATCACTACCATGTTGCAGATCTCTTTATATTTAATCTTTTCTCACTCAAACTCACTGTTTTCCTTTCAGGATTTTTTAAAAATCCGATTCTTGCTCATTGTGTCTCCAACTTGGTGATCCAAAATGAAATAATGATAAGATTGATGATTATTATCAATGATGATACATATATAGCAGTATCTTTGTCCTCACAAAGGTTTTTATTATCTCACCTTGTCACCTAAATAAGCCTTGGAAGGTTTTTATTATCCAGTTTGGATAAAATAAAAGAAGAAGAAAACCAGAGAGAAAATAGAAATTGACCTTTGACCACACAAACTTGGGACCATGCAGAGATGACCAAACTCTTAGCCTGAGATCCTACTGGGAGAGAAAAACAAAAATTACAAGAACAAGAAAGTGAATCAAAACAAGTATGTGTCTTTATTGCTATGCTGATGCTAAAAAAAATTCCAAAGTTCATGCCCAAACTCTTGCATTGGTATACATTTTCCTTCTCTCTACTTTTCATATGCTTATTAAGATCTTTAAAGTCAGAGCATTACACCCTTCTACCCTGTGGGGAGCAACTCGGACTAGACTAAGTTACTGGAATTAAGACTTATTCTATGCATCTGCTCTCCCACAATATGGCGCTGGGAGAGGAGTAAACAGCTTTTACACAGCTGCCTCCAGTTGACCAGTAACCTGCAGGAGCTGATCCTGCTCCTGATTGGAGGAGAGCAGCGTACTCGGTGTGTGGGTAGCAGAGTTGGGATTGGTGGAAGAGGACTATAAAGGAGGAGAGAGACAACATGCACCAGGAACATCTAAGGGGAACATCCGTATAACATCTGAGCAGCCCCCGAGAGAGCCGGCCGGCGGTGTGCCGCTCCCCCGCAGAAGTGGGGGAAGTGGCAGGGGGAACCGCCCTTCCACGCAGGTGGAAGGACGGTAGCCAACCCTGGAAGGACCAGCAGCAAACCCCGGGAGGGCCGAGCAGACAAAAGAACAGTGCAGGGTCCTGTGTTGTTCCTCCGCGAAGAGGGGGAGCGACACTACCCAGCTGCTCCACTATATGATCTCAGAGACAGTAAAAGTGCATTGTCCATTCTTAAAACCTCCACTTAATCTCATAAAAACTCTATATTAACTGATCAGCTTGTCTTCTTGGGTTGACACAATTATGTATGAGTATTGGAAGAAAAGGGGTACCAGAAAAGCATCTTGAACCTTACCCTACTTCAAACAGGCCCCAAATCTAATAAAATAGCTTCAGAAACAGTCCAGAAAAGACTGAGAGTTGAAGGCTGGAGGGAAAGTACATACAATTGCAATAGCTAGACTTGCCCAAACTGTTATGAGCTTGAATTTGGTATTGTATTTAGATATATGTGAAATTTTATTATAAATTTTAATGTAGAGAAAGTTATATGATGAACCAGGAATCAACACTCCAAGCTCTCACCAAGGAAATGGGAGGATTTTGATTCCCAAACATGTAGTCTAATGGAAAGTGACATTTTCACTCCCAAGGGAAAGCAAAACTAGTTAAAGAGTCAAATTCTCCATTTGTCTTACCTTTTGTTTTCTTATCTTTCTTATTTTATTGAAAGGGTCAATGTTAAAATCATGCTAATAGCTGAATACATTTTAATCAATATGATGTATTACTTGAAAACCCAATGTTTGCATCTTTGTAATGCTTTATTTATTTTTAATTGACAAATAATAATTATGTGTATTTATAAAGTAGAGTGTGATATTTTGATCTATGTATAAGTACAGGGAGATTCAATCAAGCTAAGTAACATGTCCTTCACTGCATCAATTTATCACTTTTTATGAAAACATTAAAAATTCATTTTAGCAATTTTGAAACATACAGTGCATTAACGGTGTTCACTTTGCAATTAAACAGATCCCTCAGACTTATTCATCTAGTCTTAAAAAGAGCCATTGACTTTTCCAATGTGGGGACTGGACTGAAATTGTAACACCTAACTTTGTGAATTGGAATCTCAAAGATATGGAGCCTGACTTCACCATATTCTAAATGCTCAATAGTGTTTGATAAAAAATTTGGGTCAAGTTTATGAGACAACAGAAGATACCTAGGGACCAGCTTCCTTCACTTTTATGAAAAGAAGTAAATTTTCTCTAAGGGAGATTGGGTGGACGTGAAAGAACGGTACATATGTAAAAGAAAATGAGGGGGAAGGGAGAGAGAGGCTTGGAGAGAAAGTTTCGAGAGAGAGAGAGAATGAGAGAGAGAGTTTAAGGAAGAACACCAAGTTACCAACGTTATCTCTCCAATACTGAAGAGGGAGGCCCTACCAAAATGAGATAACACACTCAAAGATACTACGACTATTCTTATTAGCAATACTAAAGAAAGGTTGTAATTTGGGAGCAACATTAAGGATTTAATTGGAAACTGAGTCTTGATTGTTCAGTACTAATAACTTGACGGATTTACATTTGTGTCCCATATACAACAAGCACAAAATTCTGATAAATCAACATGTTGTATTAACAAACACAAATGTTGATACAAAACAAGAAATATTAGGCTATGAGAACAGACTATTGCCAACTGTCTTCTGAATGCTAATATGGAAACAGACTTCTGAGTTTTATACATTTAATAAAAGTTATGTCTCATGATACTAACATAATGATTGAGGCATCCAATCTCTTCCTTAAGGAAATATATGATTTATGATTGGTCTAATGAAACTCAGAAGATTCTTCTTGAAGACAATAAGAATAAAGAGATTAATACACACTGAAAGTACTATAAGATTAGTTCAAACACAGGTGATTAGAATAATAACTAATAATCTGCTAGCTACTCGTCTAAGGTCTTTTTGTAAATTAATTCACTTAACTTTCACAGAAAAGCCCTCTGTGGGAAGGAGCTCAATTGTCATTTTCAGTTTACACATGAGTAAATAAGTAATATACAAAAAACTTGGTTCACTTGTCAAATAAGACACACCTAGTAAGTTGTTGAACCTGTATTTAATATACTCCAGCTATCTAGGCATCATACATATAAACTGATTTTTTTTTGGCTAAATGCAAAATAGAACTTCCATTGAGGCACCTGACCAAGATGGAACCTGGAACTCCATATCTTAGCAAATTCCTCAAATGGTTCCTGCAGAGCACTACAATGCATGTATCAATGCCCGCTGAATATGGCCCAACCATCACAGCTAACCAGTAGAATGTAGAGTGAAGTTCATATGTTTGTCCTTTGTACTGAAGAGTCATGGTTGATGGGTCCAGGCACATAACACAAGTAGGCCCTCAGTTAATACTTACAGTTTATGGAGTGAATGAATCAGTAACACCCCAAATTGGATCTGTTATGTAGTCAGCTGGACTTTGCCCGAAGTCAGTTCCTGAGACGGTAACAGGAGCAAGATTTAGAAACTTCTTCCTCGCCCATATAAATTCTTGCGGATTACTTCAGAGGAAGGTAAATTTCCACAATTTTTATTTTTTTGACTTCTTTTAATTGTATTTTAAGTGTTTTGGAATGATCTTATTATTACTGTATCACTTAGGCCATGAAAGCCACACAGCCTTAGTAATTTTTTTCATTTTTAAATTTTTCTTTAGACTGTAATATGATTTTTGGCTTGTAGACAAGCTAGGTTTCCATAGGTGATCTTCTGAAGACTTTCATTTGCATGTCAGCCTTATAAGGATCTGTTTGGAAGCATCATGAATTGATCTGGTAGAGCTTGGGCTTTTCTGTTGGAATTATATCCTAGGTAAACAGAAAACACAATGTCTCCTGCTGTATGAAATATGCAGGAGACTATTTTGGGTTTCAATGTTCGTTTGCATTTGCACAGATGCTGAAAAGCAAATTCTCAGCCTGTTGGTATCACTCAGAAGGTGTTCTTTACTAATAACTGTATGGGGGAGCATTGCTGACTCAAAATATAACAAGTTAAACTGCATGTTGTATTAGCATTATTCTTAATGCTAATGTAATGTCTATCCACGAAGGCAGCATTGTTAGATTGTTAGTACTGTAGATTGTAATGACAAAAGGAATTAGATGGGTTTTCTATGTTAAATCAATCATTAAGCAGTGCTATAATTATTTGCTGTTGGGAACACTCTTTTTTCTATTGTAAAATTGACACAGTCTATGAACGTAATTGCTGTGTTTTCATCCTAGGGCCCTTTAAGATTAGAGTCTGGGAGGAAGATGTGGCACTTCTAATCCTTCTGACATTTCAGAGGGACTATCCTGGCAGGAATAATATCACATCACTGGGTAATTAATCAGTGCATTTTTCTGTGGCCTGTGAAGCCTGTGTTTCCCCTGCATTTGAGAGACAGAGAGGTGGCATGTTCAAACCTTCGGTAGCCTTAATTACAATGTGATGCTGGGCCCAATTATATTCTTGGCCAATTTGACCTTTTCAGGTTGCATATGCAGACCATATCACTGAATCCGGAGTTGAAGATTTTAAGCATCAATGTACATAGGTTTGAGATCATTGGATACCTGTTTCCCTCATTTCTCTATGAATAAGAAAGCCTTAAAGAGGTATAAGCTAATCATGATCACATTAAATTTAAAAAGAAAAACCTTTATTAGTGGAAATGGCATGCCTTCATCTTACAGATGATAAGGCCAGCACCACAGGAACCTTTATTAAAGTGCAATCTCTTTCTCTCCCTGTCTTCTTTTATCCCTGTCTCCTCCCACCCCCCAGCTCCTGTCCTTTCTTCTTTGTATTTGTGGGCATGCACTTTGTCTGTCTGTCAGTATGTCCAATAGAAATGAATGTAGAGAACATATGCCCTAATGTGTGGAAGAGAAAAATAATCCATGTTTACACTATGCATAATTTATAATTTACTCCGCTCTCAGCAATATTGTAGGATTAATTAAGCACCAGAGATAAGGCCACAGAATTATGTGGGGTTTCCGTGTTGCATAGAATTACCACTAATATTAATAGTAACAAAATGAGAGAGATTTTTATTTGCAGGGCAATAGGGTAAGTGCTGTGAGAAACACAGAAGAGGAAAATACACTCTCTACTTTCCCAAACCTCCCCCCACCCTGCAAATACATAGGAGCAAAGAGAAGAAAATGTGATGGAATCATAGGAATTTACAAATGTGAATTCAGAATAGAACAAAATAGCACACATATATATGTATATATATATATAGGATATTCAGAGATAGTTTCATGGAAGGAATGAGATCTTTATTTGAACTTAATTTTGTAGCAAATGAGTGATTAATGGGAGTTTTTAAGCAGGGGCATACTATGTTAGAAGTGGTGATTGAGCTAAATCAGCTTAGAGTTCTTGAGTTTACCTTCAAGAGGTAGAAAAGGGATAAAAGAAGACTGTTAGTGGGCTGCATGTGGAAGACTCCTTACTCATTCATGTAGGGCTATGTAGTGCCCTTTGGATTCAGGAACTAACTGATTCTGAATAGTAAAACTTGATACTGACTGAAGACTGAGGCTCAGCACTGCAAGCAGATGCAGCAAGCACTCTGAGTTCTCCACTGGAAACTCCTCAAAACATTAAATTGCATGTGTTGAGCACATGGAATATGTGAGCACTGTGCATGTGCGTGTGTGTATGTGTGTGTGCTTATTGCACACGACGATAGCTTTTTTTACTTCATTTACATTTTTTTTTTGACAGGCAGAGTTAGACAGTGAGAGAGAGAGAGAGAGAGAGAGAAAGGTCTTCCTTCCATTGGTTCACCCCCCAAATGGCCACCACGGCCAGTACGCTGCGTCAATCTGAAGCCAGGTGCCAGGTGCTTCCTCCTGGTCTCCCATGAGGGTGCAGGGCCCAAGCACTTGGCCATCCTCCACTGCTTTCCCAGGCCACAGCAGAGAGCTGGACTGGAAGAGGAGCAACCAGGACAGAACCCGGCGCCCCAGCCGGAACTAGAACCTGGAGTACCGACGCCGCAGGCAGAGGATTAGCCTAGTGAAGCCGTGGTGCCAGCCTACATCCCTTTTTCTAAAAATTCAGTGAAATGTTTAATATTAGCAGCATTTGGTAGATGTTGATATTGAGGTCTGATATTTTAAATTAAGTAAAAAACAAAACCAGAGTAACAGAGATAGCATTCAAACTCAGGCCTCCTGATTCTAAATATCATCTTATTTCTACTCACAGTTTCCAATCTACAAATAATGAAAGGTAAATTATTAAGTCTCAATATGCAAATGTGAAACTTCTCATCATTAGTTATTTTTCAAATCTGTGCTAATGAGATATATTGGGAAGCAAAACTATGGGCTTAATTGCAGTTCACAGGGTGAAAATGCACTGTGACTGCAAAGGATTCTTCTCTGTGGCAGGTGCTACTTAACGATTCATCATCTATTAAGACAAGGCCATGGAAAATACAATAAGGCTGTGATTTTCAAGAATCATAATTCAATTTTTCAAGGAAACCGAATGGATAGTGTGGACTACATGAGAAATTCAGAAAATATTTATGACTCTTTATTTGGTTGACTTTTATTTATTTGGTTGTTTTTCACTTTGCTGTCCTGTCCCTTAATCTCCTCTCAGTCAGGGATTTTCAGTGTGTGTCTGCTCATATACTCATAACAGGAGGCCCAGTTGGACTTCCCAAGAGCCGGTCATTGCTCTTGCAGATCTTTCGCACTACTGTATTGGGTGTTTTGGGTGCTTCCCTGTATGCCGTTAGTTCCATTTTCTTTCAACCTCTTGATTTCTCCAGCTTTATTCTTTATCTCATTTCTAAGCCTACCAATGATCACATCTACCATTTTAGCCCCATCCCAGGCAAGACACAAGGGTCGGGAGTTGTAGCCCCATCTCTTTTCTAGGGGTGTTCTTCAAGATAGAGTCATCAACACTTTAACATCAACCTTGTAATTTCATACTATTCCTCAGGTACCACTTAAATTTTACCCTGCAGTGTCCTGCGGTTCCTGATAAGTGTCCAGGCCTGATACAAGCCATGGTCTTCAAGCTCAGAGAGACTTTTCTCCTTTAGCCCACATGATCTTATTCCAGTGAAATATTTGGTTTTTTGTTTGTTTGTTTTTTTTCCTCCAAAATCTTTTTCTATGGCCTGGAAAATGTCTCATTCAATTATCTATTGGCACTAGCTATCTATCCTAACCCTCCTTCCAGATCTATCAAGAGTACCACCAAGTGGAAAAAGCAAGGGATATATAAATGTACAGTCAACCCTCCATATGCATAGTAGCCACATGCATGGATTCTAACAGAGGTCAAAAACATTTGCAAAATGTTGTGTCTGAATTGAGCATGTACATTTTTGTTGTTATTCCACAAGTAATACTGTATAACAACTATTTTCTATCATTTATATTGTATTAGGTATTACAATGGCATAATTCTGAACATGATTTAAAGTATTTCAGAGGATGTGTGTAGGTTATATTTTAATACTGTGCCATTTTATAGAAGGGATTTGAGTGTGTCCCACAGGGAGACCTGGAACCAACTCTGTGGATACTGAGGAACAGCTTCATTATACAAACCTTTTAAATGTTTTCAAATTTCATGAAACCAAAAAAAGTTCACAATTTTACAAGAACAAATACAAACAGCAAAATGTCTACTAAATATGGTGGAATTTCTTCCTTTGATGGAGATAGGAGGAGTACTGGGAATGCATACTTGTCAGGAGAATGACTGGATCAGTTAAGAGACACCTCTTGTGGCCTTCAGGTTATAATGTGTCCTTATCTAAGTAGTATATGACTAAATGGAGGCATTGACATTTGAAATAGCAAGATGAGTGGGGGTTGTGGTGGTGTTTTATTATTGAATTTTCTTCTAAATTTCAATTTACCTTCAATTCTAATTCACCATTTAAAGCAGGTAAATTCACTCTGCAAATATAATCAAGGGATGTTCATATTGCATTAATAGATTGCTTTAGTTTTGTACTTCTCACAACTTAATTATTTAGAACCCAATTCCCTTATTCAACATTAGCATATTAAGGCAAAATCTAATTTGCAGTAAGCAGCTTGAGGCCACAGAACCACAGAAAAGAGTTGATGGAGGCAGGTGAATATGCCGATTTTTTTTTTAACTCATCATTCTATCCAGTAGTTGATAGATATATTCTTCACATGCATCTTTTAGTATTTCAGTTGAGTAAAATGGGATATTTTGGCAGGTATGCTTATGTTTCTAGAATATTTATTAGTTTTACTTCTGAATAAGGGGCAATATCTGTCATTTGGCTAAAAGTAAATAAATAGAATAAGAAAGAAAAACAAAGGAGAAAATAAATCAGAGAAGTGAAAATGGTGAGTAAAATTTTGTACTATAGTACAAAAATAGTATAGTGGGGAGAAACTTAATTGTATACTCCTAGGCTGTTTCTAACCTAGCACTGGTGAATGTATCCACCCACCCATTACACTCTACCAGTTAACACTAGTATGTTTCTGCCTCAATATAT